ACCTTAAAATATCCCCTTCTGAGATAATCAATACCAAGTATACATGGAGCCCCTGGGCCAGTCACAATGGGGTGCTTTTGCCAGTCTTTACCAATGAGGCTGATTTCGGCCTCCAACATGATCAGCTCTTCAGAACCCCCAGTCACCACATGAAAATAAATTTATTCTGTCCATTGGTGACCCGAGGGCATTAGAGAGCACTGTGTACCAGCATCCACCAGGGCCCTATATTTCTGTGGTTCTGATGTGCCAGGCTATTTAATCCACACAGTCCAATACACTCTATTATTTTACTGCTACCCTGGGTCCCCGGCTAAGGGCAGGACCCCTCTATTTGTTACCTCAGTTGTCTGTAGCAACTGGAGCAATCACCTTTTTGGAGAAGTTCACCTTGGTGGTTGATTTGTCTTGTAATTCCTTTACCCGTGCTTGAAGCACAGGAGTAGGTTGTTTATGCTACTTCTTCATACCTTCTCTATGGTCACGTAGGTAATTCCAACAGTAAGATGCAGTCTTACTGTTGTCACTTGCTCGAGCAGGAAGACATCTTATTTTGATAGCTGAGATGTTGGATGATGCAAGTTGGGAGGAAACCAAGTTGATCAGCCTCTCCAGTAGGCTGTTTTGGGAATCCTGATCCCCATTGGATCTATCTGGTACCACCATGGATCCATCAGCATTAAGCAAGGTAGACAGTTTGTCTATTATATCTTCTTGTTTGCTCTCCATTCTGTGCAGCTTTTCAGCTACTTTTGCAATGGCTGAAACACAAGCTCATAGAGGGCTTAAATGTAACTCAAAGTCTTGAAGTTTATTAATCAGCATCTGCTTCCAGAGGGTGAAGGCCTGGTTCTGGCATGTACTAATACCACTATCAATGACTGAGTCCTTAGCAGCGCCACCCAGTTGGTGAGCTTCTGTACTATCTGGCCACAGACTGTTGGCCCCATTATCCCAACATGAAAGTAACCAGGTAACAATAGGCTCATTTCGGTGATGTGAAAAGTCTTTTCTAAGACTTCTAATTTCATTCATTTTCAGATATCAATCAACAACGTCTTGCCCCCTCTTACTCTTTCAGGACTTCTTGTTGCCCTCCTGGGCACTGGTGACTGCAATCTTACTGAGGGCCCCTCCACTGGACTCAGGGGCACTTCTCCAGATCTCAGAGCCACTCCTCTGGACACCTTTCCTCCTCTACTCTTACAGAGGCTGCTTTCTTTACTTTCCCTCCTCTTTCAGTTCTAACTGCGTTGAGATTCATTTCATCTTCTGTCCTTGTACAGGGGCAAATGACATCAATTGTGGTGCCTCCTGTGATTGATCAGGTTGGTCAGTTCTGATGCTCTCACTCGCCAGGCTCAGAGTCCGTCTCCTTTGATTATGAGAGTATTTAGTTCAGATTGGAGGGTGTCTCACTCAGTTTGAAGGCTGTCGAGTTTGGATTGAAGGGATCTCGCTTGGATTCAAAGGTGTCTCGTCAAGATTGGAGATACTTTCTCTCAGCTCAGAGATCTTCCCTTCTGAGAGACTTTCTTTCTCAGCTTGGAGACTCTCTTGCCAGGTTTTGAGATTCTCTCTCCTGACTAGGAGAATCTTTCTCAATCCAGAGATTCTCTGTCTCAGCTTGGAGACACTGCTTCTTGAATAGGAGACTCTCTTTCTGGACCTGGAGATTCTCCCTCTCAGGTCGGAGTCTCTCCTGGGAACACTCCTTCTCTGCTTGGAGACTCTCGCTCATTTAGTACTGTCTCCCAGAGAGCGCCCCTTTCAGCTCGGAGACTCCCGTGCAAACTCTCAACCTGGAGATTCTGTTTCTAGACCTGGAGATTCTCCCTTTCAGCATGGAGACTCTCTCTCAATTTCAGAAACTCTCTCCCTCTCTGGGATAGTATTGAATAAGGCCCGATAAGCATTAGCCAGGCCCCAAATCATTTATGCCTCCTCAGATCTGCCTGAGCCACAACATCCCTGTCTCAAATATCTGTTTAAGCTCTTTCAGATGCTCAGGAGTAAAGTTCCATCACACCAAAGATGTCCATCTCTCTAAAGTCTCTCCCAAACCTCTCCACACTCCCTGCCACTCAGTATTCTCTGGTTTTAGGGAAGGCTTCCTCAAAATATGATAAATACAAATACTGAGTAAAATGATGAACAGTATATTCAGGGAGATTAACAATGTGATCAGATGAGCATTCAAAAAATGCATAAAGGATTCAAAGGAGAGACTGGAACCTGTTTAAAAGTTACAAGTTCCGTAAAATTAGCAGCTCCATGTGCAAACAGGTTTAAAAGAGAAAGAGGAATCTTTTTTTTTTCTCTCTTTACAGAAGGAAGATAGCAGTGCTCAATGTTTACAAATATCCCAGAATACTGGCAGTCTGCCTAGACTTTCAAGGTCAAGTTTTTCAGTGAACACCTGCGAAAGAGGTAAACTTTTCCAAGGAAGCTCTCTAAAAGCTAAAAGGCAGCTTTTGCCCACATTCTCCACCAATAGAAGAAGGGCTTACATACAAAGGAGTTTTGATCACAATGTAACACTTAGGCAATTGTTTATGGGCTGGTTCAGTCCAGTTCCATGACTAGCAGGGCAGAAGGATTTTGCAAAATCCACGCCTCCGGAAAAGGGAAACAGGGGACCCCAAAATAATTAAAAACAGTGGCAACAATCTGAGAAGAAACAAAACTAATTTACTAAATATAGTATCAGAATGCAAGATAACACTCTATAATAGAGTGTAATTAGAATTGAAGCTAATAAATCAAATATAATGAGAGAGTGTTCAAAAAGTGGATAGGCCTCACTATAAAGCTGAGGTGAGATGCGCAGTCCAGCTGAGCAGCAGGGAGGAGAGCCTGATGAAGAAGAGTACTTCAGGTGACCTTGCCAGGGGTTGTATCTCCTCTCTGACTGCAAAGCCCCTTGGGTATGTAGTTCTTCTCTTCCAAACAAGTGGTCAGAACTGGAGCATTAACAGTTTAATTCCCAGTTCATGATTCCCAATTAAATGATGTCATGATGTGGAATACCAATAACCAAAAATCATAAAACTATGACACACTTAAGAATCCATGCATGTTATAGTTATGGAGCTCTGTTTAAGAGCTATCACACCTTACAACAGTATCAACATTAACGTGAGCAGTATGTTCTAATGGCACTCTAATACTAAAGTAAAATAAATAACATTAAACGTTAAATAAAATAACATTAAAAATTCAAAACACACACGTAAACAAGCAGGAAAAACAAACCACAAAGAAGCATGTGGATAGAGATCCACAGGTCTGCGCATTAACTTATTTCTAGACACACAAACAACAACCATATGAAATATCCCATATTACTTTCATCCTTAAGAATTCTATTATAGAGTACAAAGCAACACACATCCGAACCTCCCAAAAAAACCCAAACAGAATCTGTCCTTGCAGTTAACAGGATTAGTTTAAGATGTGTTTGTAACTTCATCTGAATATCAAATTACTATCATTATTGTTTTAAACACAGGTGGGATATGAGTAACTGGTGACTAACAGTCACATTGCTATACAGTTTACCAATATAAAAATAAGATTAAAAAAAAACATGATTAATGATGCAAAAGTATACTCCTGTTTAATAGAGAGAGATCTTTAGTTTTTTCTTTTTTTCTTCTTCTTTTCTTCCCAGTAGAAGAAGATATGCCTCAGTCTAAAATTCTAAATAACTACAACTGTTGCTCAGTTAAGGCTGGAAAGACACATTAAGAGAGAAAAATCTAACTTATGTAAAGATAAATACTAGCAAGAAAATCCATGTGAAGCAAAATTCACTTATCCATGATCCTCCACAATGAACTGCTATCATCTGTCACGGATGCAAAGCCTATGAGCAAAGGAGGCTTTGAGAAAAAGAACAGTTTCTTTAACATTCTTGCAGGATTTTTTTCCATATAGCAACAAGACAACTATACAAGAGGTGGAAAAAAGTTACTTCCTCTTCCTCCTTGATTTCTAATGTACAGCTGATAAGACTTTATTCGTACCACAATTAACTCACCCAGCATCTGGAAAGTGAGAAAAAAGAACAGCAGTATTGTAATTTCACTAGCACTCACTCATAATTAGTTTCTTCCAAATTAGAATTTAATGTCTGAATTTCAATAGTTTTTTAAAATCTGAATCAAGGAAAGTAAAGCTCACAGCAGGGGTGGCTAATTTTAACTCAAAGCTGGGATTAAAAAATTCTTTAGTTGCTCCATGGCAGTAACAATATAAGAATCATAAAATTAGTTCTAAGAACATCACCTTACTGCTGGAAGCTTCATAATCTTTTGGTTCAAAGACATCTGCAGCAAAATCAATAAGCCTGCTGGGATCAACATCTGACCTCTTGTACTTGTTGAAGATATTCAGAATAAAGGCTGAGTGCAATGCATGGTGACAGGATGAGTATTTTTCCTTCTTGTGTTCACAAAAGACTGTAAGTGCCAGATAAGCCACATTTCCTTTCTCAAGTGTGGATTCTACTGTGCTGGAAAAACCAAGTGTAACTAATTATGCTGATATAGTCATGAGTAAGTGTAAATACAGTAAAATATATCATTTCTTATTATCAGTCAAAGAGGAAGACTACAACACTGGAATGTATGCAGAGCCATACATACTAGCCCACAAAGTCAGCACATGCATAACCAGAACTGGTATATAAATCTATAATAACGTTGTAACTAAAAAAAGTAAGGCAAAACCCACCCTCACCCCATCCACAACAGGGATTACCTTACGTTAACAGCCTGACCACAGAGAACACACGTGTTCTCTGCACCTTTACAAGGGTCCTTAACTGCACCGCACACACACACACACAGCTTTCCCAGGAGGCTCCCGAAGGCCCGGCACCAGAAGGCGGAAGCCCTCCTCTCGTTGGGGATACAGGAGCCTCTGCTATACGAAAATGAAAAGCGACGTGCCTGAGCCGCAGGGGAACCGCGCTACCTCCGAGAGAAGGCGCTTACCTGATTGGTGACCTGAAAAAAAAGAAGAAACGGAGAGGGGTTACAAGCATAGTGGAGCCTGAGAGCTGGCACCCACCCCCAGCCACCAGCACCCCCACGGCCAAACCCAGCACCTCCACGCCGCCACCCCTCCCTCCCTTCCAGGTCAGCGCCCTTTCTCCCCGCCGCTATCTCCAGCCACCCTCCCGCGGCACTCACGTCGGGGTTGGCCTCCAGCGGCAGCCAGCGATGCGGCTCCATGGCGGCGGGCAGCACGATGCTGACAGCGCCCGGCGCCTCCTCGCCTCAGCGCTGACCCGGGGCCGCGCCACCGAGCCGACCGAGACCGGGAGGAGCCGCGGGGGAAAGCAGCCCTCCCGCACCCCCACGCACAGCTCGCCCGCCCTGCCGAACAGCCGAGCGAGACGCCCGGCAACCCGTTGAACGCCTTTCCCCGCGGATACTCCCACACAACAACGGTCAGAAAATTTCCCCTTGCTCGCCCGTCGGCTCCCCCCGGCAGTGGATTCTCCCAGCGGGACACAGGGTGGTGCCTCAGCCGCCCCGCCCCGTGCTCCCTCCCACTGGAACCTGCGCAGCGAGCGGCAGCCACGGGGGGGCGCCTTTACGGCGCTGCGCCCCACAGTCGCCTCCCGCCCCGCTCCGCCCAGAGAGCGCTTGGAGCCCGGCGGCAGCAGCTGCTGTTGGAACGGAATGGTCTTTAAGGTCCATTCCGCAGTTCCGCGGTTCCGTGTTCATCAGCAGGGCAAACCCGTAAGAAAAGGAATGCGGAGTTGAAAAGAACAGTGTTTAAGAAAACACATTCGCAGACATGCAGCAGAGAACAGTGGGACTTTTTAAATGGTTCAAAGGGAACCTGTTTTACGGTGCACTCAAAGCAGTGGCAGCAAGTTGCCTCACTCCGGTATTGAGCTCCATTTTCTCTTCTAAAGCTGTGAATCCTCTCAGGTCTTCCCACCCCAGAAGCATATATGGTCACTTTTTGCCCTTTTGGCTAAGATCAAGCAAAGTATAATATAGAAAGATGGATGGAGTGCTGGTAGCCAGGGTGCCTACCTCCTGCCCTCTGCTTGGAGCACTGCCATCAGGCAGCCAGTGGGGGGCAAGAAGCTGTAAGAAGAAAAAGCAGCGACACCAATGTCCCTTCAGTGGACTGCAAGGGAACTGCCACCTGCTGGTCATCATGGGGTCAGAGTGCGAGTGAGCAGCTGCACATTCATTTCATGGGGTGGATGCCTGGAAAAACTTTGTATGATAGCCTTAATCCAGGCCCCATGGCCCATCCAGCTTTCACTGCCATGAAGAGATTCAGAGAGCAGAATGCCAGTGGCTGAGCTGTGCTTACACCCAGAGTGAGCAGACAGGGCGTAGCAAAGAGATGCTGTGCCGGCTTACAGGCAAACCACAATCCCACAGCAGGGAGTGTAATGAGAGCAGTGTTACTGCAGAGACAGAGTAGCAAGGTGACAGGAGGCCAGGAGAGGCAGGGGTTATAGACACCACACAGCTGAGGCCCTGGCATTGGAGAAATGCAGCTGGTACCAGAAATGCTTTCTGCCTTCTATCTGAAGAGCTATATGCAGAACTTCGTGTAGTTCTTTAGTGAGGGCTGATGTAAATAGTGCCCTATTCTGTACATTACATTTGTGAAATGGAGTAAATTACCTAGTTTTTATTTTACTCCTGTTACTAGTAAGCAGGACTATTGCTACATGCCTTTGCCTGAACATTCTCTATTGACCTATAAATAACATCACAGTGCATCTCTTTAGCAATCCAGTCTATTGCTGTCTCATGAGATTTGTCTCTTTCTATACAATGTGTCTCCTCACATTCAGCTCTCACTCCTTTTCTATCTAGAAGATGGGCCTTTACTCTCAGTTTGCAGTCACTGCAGTTACCTATTTTCCTCTGCCACACAGAGCTTCAGAAATTATATTTACAAAAGGCAAAGCTGTCTGAACACAAGTTAATACTGTGGATGGACTGCTACCTGAAATCATTAAATACTTAACCACCTGCTTCTCCAAATTCAAAGAACTACGCATATGTTTGTAGACAATACTGAATTAGAGGAGCTGTTGACTCCCTGAAGAACAGAGAAGCCTCACAGAGAGATCTTGTTAAATTGGAGGGGTGGGAAATCACCAAGTGCATGAGTTCAACAACAGCAAGCACTGGATTTTGCATCAGGATATCCATATGGACTGGGGGTGCGGAGCTGGAGAACAGTCATGCAGAAAGGGATCTGGAGGTGCTGGTTTAGAACAGTCAGCAGTGTGCCCTGGCAGCCAAAGGGGACAGCCATACTCTGGGATGCATCAGGACCAGCACAGCCACCAGGTGAGGACAGATGTTGTCCTGCTCTGCTCTGTGCTGACACGCTCACCTGCAAGGTGAGGCTCTACTGTAAAGTGCAGGTTTAGGCACTACAATCTAAGAAGGACGGAAAGCTATCAGAGAGCATCCAAAGGAGAGCTACACAGATGATGAGGGTCCAAAGGGCAAGATGTGTGAGGAGCAGCTGAGGTCTGTTCAGGCCAGAGCAAAGGAGGCTGAGGGGAGGCCTTGTGGCAGACTACAGAATGGCATGGAGCTGCATCAGGAAAAGGTTCTGCACCAGAGGGTGCTTGAGCACTGAACGGTCTCCCCAGGGCAGTGGTCATGGTACCAAGCTGCCAGAGTTCAAGGAGCTTTTGGATAATGCTCTTACACATAGGGTTTGGATTTTAGGTGGTCTTCTGTAGAGCCAGGAGTTGGTCTTGTCCTTTCCAAATGAGGGCATTATATGATTCTGTATCTATGAAAATAACCCCAAAACAAATTTTCAGCAAATGATTTGGAGTAATTCTATAATTACCAAACCATCACATTCAACTTCACATTATTTCCACATCTTGGAAAATGAATGAAAAATAACAAATATTAGTCATATCGCTAAAGGCACTAGTGAGACACTTGATTAAATTCTAATATAAATAGTGTGTAAACTTCAGTAGTTAACACAGGAAAATATTTAATAGTTAACTAAGAACAAAAAGATGGTTAAGTCATGTCCCTGCTATCACAGGCAGATCTTACCTGCATGAACATCACAAGTGTTTTGACAGTCATGAGGTCATAAAAACACATATTTCTCAAAAGTATTTTGACACCATAATTAGATACTTTAAAAGGGAGAGGCTACATGCCTTAATGTATAAAGTTCATAAACACACATATCATGTTGCACAATAATTTCCTGTTGCTTGAAATATATTCTAAATTATTTCATTTAAATGTACTGGAAATAGATAACTTTAAACTAGGCAGCAATACTGTGCAATGAGTTACATTTTACTCATCAGTCACAAACAGTCTTACTGTGGATCTAACAAAACTGTAGCATTATAACATAGAAAAAAAAAGCTAAAAAGTAAACTGCTTACTAGGAAAAAAATCTAAGTATACTTACTATTGTTAAAAGCTGGCACTGTTGAAGGATCAGTGTTGTTTTAGGGTTTCACTTGCACACTAAACTTATTGCATTCAGCGAGAAACATCGCTAAAGATGGTTCTAGCTGCAGTTTTATATTGTCTATTTTCCCATTGAGCTGAAGACCCACTTGACCTATGCAAATCATTTGTGGACTGCAGTTCACTCACAGATGACCAGATTCAATGATCCACCTGCATAAAGCATAGTTGCTAGATGCATCTGTAACAAGCCCAGTACACCCTATGTTCTGCACACAAACTCAATAGCACGTGATTAATGTACCCAATACTGTTAATCCCTGGAGAATATAAACAAAATCGAGTGCAGGTTAATAACGAACTAAATGGAATTAATAGCCTGCTGCATCAACCATGTGTGATTTGTGCAGAAATTGCCTCACCAATCTGTTCCCGGGAAGATCATGGAACAGATATGGAATATATATTGAGGCACATGAAGAACAAGTAGGTGATCTGAGACAGACAGCATGGCTTCACCAAAGGCAAATCATGCCTCACCAATCATCCTATGATGGAATGATGATATCAGAGTAGACTATTCAGTGGATAATGAATTGGTTGGAAGGTAGCAGCCAGAGGGCTTTGGTAAATGGTTCTGTGTCCAGGTGGAGGCTAGTGATGAATGGTGCCCCACAGGGGTCTGTCTTGGAACCCGTTGGAATCTTTATCAGTGACATAGATGATGGGATTGAGTGCATGCCCAGCAAGTTTGCTGATGACACCAAGCTGTGTGATGCAGTTGACACAACAGAAGGAAGGACCAGAAGTGGCTTGAAAAGTGGGCCCATGTGAACATAATTACATTCAACAAGCCCGAGTGCAAGGTTTTGCACTTTGATCATGGCAATCCCTGATACTTATACTGACTGGGAGAAGAACACTTTGAGAGTAGCTGTGCTAAGAAAGACATAGGGGTCCTGGTAGAAGAAAGATTTAGCATGAGCCAACAGTGTGCACTTGCAGACAGAAAGGCCAACAGTATCCTGGGCTGCATCAACAGAGGGGGACCAGCAGGAAGAGAGAGGAGATTGTCCCTTTTTACTCTGCCCTTGTGAGGCCCCATCTGGAGTACTGCGTCCAGGTCTGGGACCCTCAGGACAAGGACATCAAGTTCGAGGAGCAGGTCCAAGGGAAGGCCACAGAGATGTTCAGAGGGCTGGAGCACCACTCCTACAAAGACAGACTGAAGGAGCTGGGCTTGTTCAGCATGGAGAAGTCAGGGGAAACCTCAACGCGGCATTCCAGTACTTAAAGAGAGCTTATAAAAAGGAGGGAAATCAACTTTTTACGTGGGCAGATAGCAATCGGACAAGGAGGGGGGAGGAGGGGTTGAACTAAGGGAAGATTTGGATTATATGTCGGAAACATTTTTCACTGTGACAACAGTGAGGTGCTGGAAACATGCAGATATGGCATTAAAGGACATTGGTTAGTGGGCATGGTGATGATGGGTTGGCAGTTGGACTAGATGATCTCAGTGGCCTTTTCCAACCCTAACGACTTTATAATTCTAGGAGAACCCCAAGCTCCCCCCCCCCCCCATGCCTGCCCTGAGCCTATTGGGCGACGCCCAGCGAGCAGGAGCCTGAAAAGGCGCCAACACACAAACCCTACCCTGCCTCAGCCTGGCGCCGAGAAGACAGCGCATGCGTTCTGCTCAGCCGCCTGCCCCGCTCCGCCCCCGTATCGCTCGGAGCCAATCAGAGCGCGGAACGCTGTGTGGCGGATGTGGGTTGTTGTCGGGATCGCGGTGCTATGGCTGCTGGCTCCGCAGTGCTGCTGACGCGGGCTCTGGAGACGCTGGGTGAGGGAACTGGAGCTGAGGGGAAGTAGGGAAGAGCCCAGCCTCGGGTCTGTGGGTTAGCGGGAAGGCCGGCTGGGGGTTCCTTGTTCTCGGTGGGTCGCGCCGATGAGAGCCTGTTCCTCAGGTAGCGGTGCGGCCTGTTTCGGAGGGGCCCTGGGGAGACTGATGCTCCTCCAGCGGCTTATGGGGGGGTTCCTGCTGCCCGGAGGAGGTCCGGACAGGGTCCCTCTCTCGGCTGCGGTGAGCTGAGCTCGGGGGCAGCAGCTCGTTGCTGCTGGTCCTCAGTGCCCGAGGGCAGCCCGGGGCCTGCCCGGCTTTCTGGGAAGTTTTTGCAGAAGGGGACTTTTTGTTTGACTGTAGGACTGACAAACTGTGCAATTGCATAGGCTCTCTTTGGGTTTCGGAGGTATCTGTTATTCCCATTCCTGATCTGTTCATATAATTCAGGATGAAGTCTGTTAAATAAAGCTCTGCTCTTGAGGTAAATAAAACCATGCAAGCCTATGACTTCTACAGAGATGACTTATTGCTAATAAAGCTCGAAGGACTTGCTTCTGGTCACTACTGTTTGTGTTTTTCAGATGTTGGTGGTGCAGCAGATAAGATTAGTTTGATACCTCAAGACTTCTTTGCAGAACTAGTAAGTAGAACCATAAGGGGGATATGGAAGGGCTTCAGGCACACAGATTTCAGCAAACCTCTTTCAGCTCACTGCTTTCTGCATGTTGCAGAGTGGAACTTATGTATGTATGATGTAGGTTTACATGAAATAGACCAGTCCTACCAGAGCAGAGTGATGGCTAAAAGTTTGTTTTCATTACTGAAGATACTTAAGGTTTTGGTTTTGTTTGTTGTCTTAATGAGATATAGAGCTCGATAGTCCAGAAAAAAATTCAGCTTCTCCATATCATAAAGCATTGTGCGCTTGAAGAAGACGGCTATTCATTAGTATGAAAATGGCATGTTAAGAAACAAAATGTGAGGTAATACCGAAAAGTTCTGAATTAGTTGATTTTTCTTGGGTTTGATTTTGATTTCAGTTGCTTACATGACCTTATTCTTCATTTTCCATTTAAAACCTCATCCTGTTGTCCATTTTTATGTCAACCAGTTTTTGTTGCTGTTGTAATCTCCAAGTATTAAAACGACTGTTTACAAGGGTAGATAGTGATTAGAACAAGGGGGACTGGAATGGTTTTAAACTGAGACAGGGGAAGTCTAGGTTAGATAGTAGGAGGAAGTTTTTCACTCAGAGGGTGGTGATGCACTGGAACAGGTTGCCCAAGGAGGTTGTGGATGCCTCATCCCTGGAGGCATTCAAGGCCAGGCTGGATGTGGCTCTGGGCAGCCTGGTCTGGTGGTTGGTGACCCTGTATATAGCAAAGGGGTTGAAACTAGATGATCATTGTGGTCCTTTTCGACTCAGGCCATTCTATGATTTTTTTCAGACTTGCTCATCTAGTTAATTAAAACATGCTTTGAAAATATTTTCAAATTTATTTTCTTTGCAGTGTGAGCAGATAATTCAACATCTTAACCATAAGATCCCAGGTGTAAATACAGTTGAACTGTGTCAGGTAAGTTTGGATATTAGCACTTAAAAGCAAGCATAATAGTGGTATGTATTGTGATGTATGCATTCTGCAGGTCAAATTATTTGTGTGTGTATATGTATGTATTTATAAGAAAATTTTTAAACTCAGAAGTTGATACCACTTAATTATTTGATCATCCTGTCTTTAGAGACTGCAGACATCTGGGATTGAGGTTAATGTTGGTGACCTGGCAAAAATAACTAACGCTGTGTCCTTTTTGTTTAGGTAAGCACACAATAATTTATATTTTCTTTATCTTCCTTTTTTTTTTTTTTTTTTTTCCCTTCATATTAATCTAATAGCAGTGTTACACCATAACATCCAAAGCATGTATGAAATAAAATGATTTGGGAAAAGGGCTTAGTTTGTGTTCATAAGGTTAAAAAAAAAGCATAGTACCTACATACATAGACTCAGTAACTACAAAAATAGAGAGGCAATTGTTCTTCTTAGAACCTGTCTGTAAGCTTTGGAACCAGAGTGCTTTTCCCTCCTTTTTTTTTTTTTTTTTTTTCTTGATGTTTTCATGGGAGTTAATTGAGTAGTGCTTTTTGCGGCCTTTCCTCTAGACTCACTGCCTTTTCATTTGGGAGTTTATTGCATCATTTGACTCCTGTTAGTGCAAATTATACCATTGCCTGGAGGTCCTTAAATACCTCTTGGTGTTTCTTAAATTGCTTCTCCTAAATGTTTAATTAAACTGCTACATTTCAAAGCTAATAATACTGGTTAATAGTCTTAAATTCTTGGAGAATTAAACAGATATGTGTTGTTTGGATTTTTCTATAGCACAGCAGCCAGGAACAATCTCTCTACGGAGGAGCTCATCGCTGCCTTGGGCAGCACAGTCAACACACTGCCTAAACATGCGATACAGGTTATTCGTCATGTATGGAATGAGCAGGGCAAATCTGTTGATGTGTCAGAAGATGAAGGAAATATGACCACAGTGGGCCAGGTAACTACACAATACAGTGCATGTGAACTAATGATTTTTCAGAATTGGCAGTGCTTCACTGTGCCTGTTGTATTGTCAAGCACAAAGCAGTGCCTTGATTGCCCAGAAGTTTGCTGGCTGTTTGTTGCCGGATTTTTGACAAGTTAAGAGAAAGATGTACAATAAAGGACATTGAAATCCTGTCTCATATTTTTGCTTGAATGATAAATATACATTTCATAGTGCTGTTAGGGAAGGTGAGTGACAGTATGGCAGACAATAGTACTAGCTAATTATGTAAATGTTATTTTAGAGTTGATAGCATCAGCACTTGAATTCGTTATTCTTTGTCTCCCTTAAGTTTAAGCTTTATTTTAAAGATAAGTTCTGTCAATTTCCAGCATTTCTTTTATTTGTTGAAAAAATAAGTGTTCAGATGCATTTTGAGATTTTTCTTAACACCAACAGTTAAGAGTATAAAATTAGAAAATATAATGAGGAAAAAGAAATCTTTGTTTGAAGCTGGATAGTAAGCTTCTGAAAGCTCACCTTATTTCTTTGTTAAATATTTCTACCTGTCATGAAAGGGTAAAAACGATAACTTATTCAGTCTGAAATGTGTTTAGAATATTCTTTATATAGAATTTTTGTGTACTCAGCTTTTTCTCATGTTTCCATTTGATTTAGAAGCTTCTAAAGAGAACATGTCAAACACACTAATGATATACAAGCCAGGTGAACTCTGTGACTTAAGCTTCTATTCCTAGAACTTCTTGAATATTGTCAGTATTTTACAAAGTGAAACAGACTAAGTGAAATAAATTATCATTTTTCTTTCCACAACTAAAGGGAACAGGAGATCAGAATAATATCTGACTGTGGGTTTATTTCCTATTTGGATATGCTGCGAATGTCCTATATTGTCTATCAAAACATCTGTCCAAAACTATAGCAACAGTAGGCTAGATTTCTTTAGTACTTTTTCCAACAACTTTTTTCTCTGCAGTTTGTAGATATTAAATGGAAACTGGGAGTTGCAATGAGCTCTGACACCTGCAGGTCTCTGAAGTATCCGTATGTTACAGTGACACTAAAAGTAGCAGACCCCTCAGGACAAATAACCAACAAATGTTTTGAAATGACAGTCCCACAGTTCAAGGTCTGTATCCCTCTGTCATCCCTTTTCATGTGATTCAGTCTTTTTGGTGACATAGTTGTGAAAAAGCAAATGTGTACTTTGTATACAGCTGTGAAGCTTACTAATATGGAAATTGAAAGACTGAACACTAAATAATTGTTTAAAATACTGAAGTACCTATTTTGTGACATTTAATTCTGTACCACCTAGCCTGAAATGTTAATTCAGCAGCAGTTTGTTCTCTTACACTTTGACTTAGCAGGAAAGGCAGATCTAAAAGTGTCCTCAATTCCATCCCTCTGCCTTACCAAAAATGGTGACTATTCTGATTCTGATTCTGTGAAATTGCTAACCTCAGGTTAAGTCCTGGCAGTTGGACAGAAGGGAATTTAAGGAAGGTATTATGAATTCTTGAGTGTTCTGAAATCTTGTATTCCATCTGGTTGAAACCTACTTCATAGTTTGCTGTTCAGCTGATATGAGAAAGGGATGCTTGCTCTGTGTGAGAAATACGGATTATTTCAACTGGGAATAGAAGTGTTTGCCTGAGAAGTATATAGGTTTTGTTATGTTTTTTTTTTTTCTTTTGAGGTTTAGCAGTTATTTCAAGTGTTTTCCCATAGCATCCTCTCCTATCAATAAGCACAGCCATACAAATAATTCATCATACGTACGACTGAATAGTTAATGCATCCAGATGGCAACCATCTCACAAAAAGAAATGTTCAAACTTCCAGTTCAACATGCAGATTGTAATTGGAGAAAGACGGAATGTGAGAAACATAAAGTGATTTTGCCTAATGTGATAGTTTGCACGTAAGTTTAGGCTTTTCTTTGTGCAACTGAAATTTATATTCTTGCTTTTCAGAACTTCTTCAGGCAGTTCAAGGAAATGGCAGCTGTTCTTGAAACAGTTTGAACAGAACTGTTCTTGATACTGAAATTTCTGAGAGATTTGTATCAGGTAAACTTTATGTCCTGTGCAGAACAAATACATGCCTTGCTGAACAATGGCAGTATCCTTATCCTTTTGGTGGGTATTTGTCACAGTCATCCTTACGTTGCTGTGAAGTTTTCTTTGCTTCTGAAAACTTGAAGCCAATTCTGTTTATAAAAGTGGTCAGCTTTGTTTATCCTTATAAACAAAAGATCAGGCTCTGTACAGAAAAATGTCACAGTAGGCTTTTTGCTCTCTGAGAGTGAAAAACTACATTTAAGAAACTACACATTTAGCTCCAGAATACAGAAAGATGTGAAAATGTTAATTTGGCTGAGAAAATACTAAGAGAAGTGTAAATCCCACATTAAAGTTTTGTCTGTAAAATTGAGATGTGTTTGGAATCAATAGTAATATTAACTGTATGGAGTATATGAAATTACACGTGGCAAGCATACAATTATTCTTGAAGAATAGCAATGTCAAGTAGTTAGTTGCAGGTATTTGCACACCAGGCTTTCAGTTTTCTTTTAAATGGAATATGCACTTGTTCTAATGGCCTGACTATTTTGAATACTTATTTCTCACCACCCAGACTTCTGAAAATTAAATTTCCCTGGAAACCTACTTTTTTCTCCGAAATGAAGCCTGGAGGTTAATTTTAAATATAGGAAGAAAGTTGAAATTAATTCCAGAGCATTTCAATGTGTTTTTTCCTTTGTATTTAATCCAGCTCTAATCTGTGGCACTCTGCTTGATGTTCTTCGTAGCAGCCTGATTTCTGATTAAATTAAAATATTGATGTGGCTGCCTCACTCTGTGCTCTGAACTAGAAAAACTGGGAAGAGGCTTAAAAGTTCAGGCTAGTGCATTAGTCATACACATCAGAGAAATGACTATACTGAAAGTCAACAAGTGTTTGGCAGGAGTCTGGTGGACTGCGTTGCTTTCTCATGCAGAAAATGTCCTAACCAGAAAAATTTTGACTTTGATTCTGAAGGCGAATGGGGACATTTTCAAAGGGAGAGTGATAAATGGCAGTATGCTTGCATTTCATTTTTTCTTCTGTTTAACCTTTAGAACTAGAAGTATAGCAGGGTCTTTAAAAAATACTACTGTTGCATTTCAAGACTTGCTGGTAATGTAGTAAGGCAGATAAATCTGAAGAGAGACAATTCACGCTGATAAGCTGCTGGAATTTATGCCGTGGCTTCAGACTAAGAAGCAGTGTTGTTGGGACGGATCTTTACATAAGAACATCTGCCTTTCTAATGCACATAAATAGTTTATTAACTTTTCTTAGAAGCTGGCTGAACATCAGTGATGCAAGTTTTGCCCACTTTTGTCTCAGGAAAATGGACTGCAACACAGAGCAGACTGCAGTCCTTCCTATAGAGGTACACTCCCACTCTGTAAGCATTATGCATAGTACATAAAAACAGTACTTGGAGTTACTTAGATCTCAAATAAATGAAACGTTGTCTTTAACAAAAGACAGTAGAAGCTTTGGCCATCTATCCTTCCTCTGTGCTGCAGAAGTCAAAGGTATTTGCTTCATGTCTGGGAAGAGCAGAATGTTGTTCTGTTGACTGTGTCAGTAGAGTGCCACAGGATGGCAAACTGGAAGTCTTATCCTCAAACCTTGTAATCTGATAAGGGAAAAGGTCTGAATGTGGTGCAAAAAATCATCTCTGTGTTTGGAAAACTGATACGAGCAGCTGATATTTTTCATTGTTTACTTTTTTTTTAAGTTGAAATGTAGGGCTTCTGTAGCCAGAAAACATTGTCGTGCCATGGCCTAGTGAATTAATTGGTTTTAATCACTGTAAGAATTCCAGAACTTTTTGTTGTTGGTGGTGTTTTTATTTTGTAAAGCTAGAGCATTACAAGTACTTCCATTTGTTCTAGTGCATTTAAGTTTTTCAGATAGGTGGAAATATTTGTGCCTTCTCTAGAACTGGATGGAAGATTTCGTTAATAATGTCTTAGCTTCTAGAAACAGCAGTTTAGTACATTCTGAAAGATAATGAGGAAAAGTTCAGTTATCATTCTTGTTTGGCCCATAACCAAGGGGAAAAAAAAAAACCCACCAGCTTCTGAAGAGTGTAACTGTTATGTTTTTTCAAATTATATGTTCCAGATGTACTAATGAATGTTTTTGAAGCATCATTGCACTCTTATCAAGTTGGAGGGCTGGGTGGAAATTGCCTAGGCATGTGTGATACACTAGCACAACTGTCTGAGAATTTTGAGATGTGATTAAAAGCTGGCTCTGTACTCAAACTTGGAGGTTTGTCCTGATCAGTATCTGTAGGAATTCCTATACTGAGTAATGGAAGAACTACGTATTTTATTTTAAAAAACGAATACTTGGCAGGGTAGCAATATGAACGTGTTCAAACAAGCTCTTGAATTGTTTGTTGATATGTGCAGGAGCCAAATATTTTCAAAGAGAATCGGATGTTCCTGATGTGTTCCTAATTCTACTTGTTGATTGAGACAAAATTGTTTAACACAAATATTTTTGTAAGTTCACAAACATTCATTAAACATGGAGGTAACAAAAATAAAAGATGGTCTGTTTTTTTTGTTATAAGCCTACTGCATGGAAGTCTCTCTCTTAAATACTGAAGAAAGTCTGAATATATGAAGAAAGGTTGAGAGAACTGGGCTTGTTTAGCCTGGAAAAGAGAAGGCTCCAGGGAAGCCTCATTGTGGCCTTCCAGTACTTGAAGGGAGCATATAAACAGCAGGGGGAATGACAGTTTATGAGGGTGGATAGTGATAGAACAAGGGGGAATGGTTTTGAACAGGGAGGCTTAGGTTAGATATTAGGAGGAAGTTTTTCACTCAGAGGGTGGTGCAGTTGGAACATGTTGTCCAAGGAGGTTGTGGATGCCCCATCCCTGGAAGCATTCAAGGCCAGGCTGGATGTGGCTCTGGACAGCCTGGTCTGGTGGTTGGTGACCCTGCACACAGCAGTGGGGCTGAAACTAGATGATCATTGTGGTCCTTTTCAATCTAGGCTTTATAATTCTATGATACTGCTGTGGGTAAAGTTAAGGATCAGACCAGACTATACCTAAGTTTCTTTCCTTATTAAGTTAGGATGAGGTTCAGACAACTGCAGTCATTCTGTCAGAAAGTGGTAATGTTGCTGAGAGTTATGTGCAGGCTGTAAGGAATATTTGTGTCAATTACAGCTAGACAAGTGCTATATGCATTGCATGCAAGTGGGTTTCTTTCCTTATGTGTATTTAGGACACAAATGTGCAGTTTTTCTTTTCAACGATTGCCCAGAACAGGGTAAGAGGAAGGAAAATGGAGAGAAGAAAGGGTATTACCCAGTAAACAAAACCAGGGGAGGGACTAATGAAGGAATCTCCTGGCAACAGCTCTGTCTTCAGTGTGTGTGGCACTTTTTTTTCCCGCATTATTTTCAAACACACCAGTCCCTTTGTTATTTAGTATACGAATGGAAAAAGGCTCACAGAAAGAATACATAAATGACTCCAGTCATTTCTGTGCACTACTGCTGCATATATTTAGCTACAGGTCATGGCCAATGGAAAAACTGTCTCTAAGTCACTTAGTTTTTGCTTCCAGTGAATTGTGCTGCCTTTCTTTAACCGTGTTTCAGAAGTATTTTCACAGTGAACAAGGTTACTTACCTTACCCATCCCCCCCACTTATTACTATTAATTTTTTTTACTGTACTTGTATCCCAGGAGTTATGCTAGCTTTGACTCACTAAAAATAAAATAGAGAGATGCTCTTGTGGAGAGAAAGAACTGTTTCTTCTTATTGTTTACTCTCTTCCTTAGCATACCAGTGCTTTATTACCCTCTTACTGTGAGTACAATGAGAGGGCAGTTTCCAGCACTTTACAGAAAATAGGATTATTCTGCTTAGCCTTTGTGAGTACCAGAACATCATAAAAAAAAATTGAGTCATTTAATCTACCTGCAAAAAAATGCCTCATCTTTTGAGAAGTATTGTAGCAGCTGAGAAACTTAAAGTTCAACAGCCCCTATCCTATCCTATCCAATACTCTGTGGTTGACTTTTTTCCTGTTTCTTCTGTAGTAGGCACTAATTTTACAAATATCATACAACTCTTGGTGGCACTGCTAGCTTAATGGACCCTCACTTTGTTTAGGATTTTGGCTCTATGCAGGTCAGTGTATGATGTTCAAAGTGCCTAGAGCTGGGTTTAGTGTTCATGGGATGTTGCTTCATTGCTCCTTTCCTAATGCCTGTAGAGGAGGCTCAATCACTTCATAAATAACTGAATTTGTCACTGTGGACTTCAGTTCAAATGTTTGCTTCTACCACACGGCACTGTCGATACATATTTACCCACCTTTTCTCATAGCACTGGAGTTGTGCATGGGACTAGTGGGATGATGGTTGGCACTTTGGTATGCCCAGTTCTGGATTTTTGGGAGGACTTTGTCATAGAGACTTTCTTGGAGGAAGGAGGAAAAGCGACCTGCCATTTTAACTGAGTTTCTGATACATGTTTCTACTCAGGATCTTGTGTTATTGAGAAAGTAATAAAGCTGAGGCTGCTGATGATCTTCTTAGAGATGGCCGATTGTGTTTCTTCTTCTTTGCCCCAGTTTTCTGCAGTGTCATATCACGTTTCATCTGACTTAACTGGGAGAACTGAACAGTTCTGTGCTTTTGTCCATTATGTGTAGGTGCCAGCTTCCAAATGTTGTTAGTGTTTATGTTACAAAATAAGTTTATAAGTTGGGTATTTCTGTTTCAGTTTTGTACTTCACATACTTAACTTTAAAACAGTAACCTTAGTATGTGTGTAATACAAAGGGAGAATTCTATCACTTGATGTAATGCATGTCTATTATACAGTGGTATTTTTTTAAAAATGAAATTGTCATAGCATTGGTCACAAGGTGGCACTGCTACATAGAGTCTTAGAAGACAGTAATCCTTTGGGAGTGTAACTGACAAGGGGGTAAGGATTTCTTGTTCTCTACTTATAATGTAAAGTACGTACCCATTTTGTTATAACTTCCATGCTACTTTTTGCATTTTATGGAAATACTGTAACTTTTGTGTTAATTAACAACAACAACAAAAAAATTTCCAGCAACACAAAGAAAAATCAGCTTCTTACTAATAACAGAATTACGTTCCATACCTTCTGTATTTGCAGTAGCTCAGGACAGTAGTTTTTAATTCTACATTATACTTCCGCATTATGACTTGCTCTTCAAATAGCATCATGTTATGTTTTTACTGAGATCTATTACAGTTTCATTTTTTTTTCCTGTATATATGTTTCTCAGATTTTTCTAGATCAATATCTTGTTTGTAGAACAATCACTGGCATTTTTCTATTCAAAGTTGTCATGCTTTTTAACAACTCTAGCATCGTTCCTCCATATTTTGTTATGCAGCTTTCAGTGTTTTTTGCCATTTTCCTTAATAATATGCTTCTTAGCCATGCAGGTGTTTGTATTGCTTAATTCCACTTCTGAATTACTTCTGAATCTGAAAGGTAATGTTCTGATGTTTCTGCCACTACTGAATTTGGTAGCAATTTTTCTGGTTTGCTAAAGGGCCAGAATTTCAGCATTCCTGGTGTCCAAGGTGGCTTAGAGGTATGTTTTTAAGGAAAAAAAATTTCACCTGAGAGCTAGGCCACATTAAAACAAAGTGAGCTTTTCTCTTCTGAACTGGCAAGCAGTAGATGCTGTAGCCATGCATGAAATTTGAGAGAGGTGTTTAAAAGTTTACGTTTGAAATGAGAAATGGAATTGTCTCACCTGAATTACTGGTGTGCAATACTGTTCTCAAGTTGAGAATGTGGGAAGAGGGGAGATGCTCAGCAGTTGACAGAGTCAAGACAACAGATGTCGATTTACCTACAGTGGAGTCAAGGAAGACTTTTTGAAAAGAGGATTAAGAGATTCCCATCTGTTCTCTGCCCTTTATTTATTTTTTTCTTTTGGCAGCTATATTGGCACTGTTCATGGTATTGTGTTGAGACTGCATGTGTCCTGTATTTCATGGTAAGCTTTACCTTATCTCACCAGACATACAGTTGAGTTATGAAGGAAGATTTTAGTGTTGGTACAGTGTTGAAGTAATGAGGGCTTTTGCATTTTCCTCTTGAGTAAATAAAATTTGTGACATATTGTACAATCAGTAGGTGTACAGAAGTTAGGCTAAGTAGGATTATCGCGGTGGAAAGATAATAAATGGAAAATGCTCATCAGTGTTATAAACTTGCAATAAACTCCACAAGGAGCAATCTCCAGAAAGAGATCTTTACTCAGTGGCAGTCAGCACTTAAACAGGATCTTGGAGAGGTGGAGCCAGGCTCCACCCCTTCTGGTACACATGTGAATTGCCTTCACCTGTGCTCCTGCAGCTGAATCATTGTTTGCCTCAGGTGGTCAATCAGAGGTCCAGGCAGTGAGCAACAGTTCCCATACACTCCACCCCTCCATGGTGTGAACCAC